TCTGCTTCTTATTAATCAGAGTACTGACTGAATTTTACAGCCTTTCATAATTCTGTAAAAGCCAGTGGATATTCACTGCATAATCATATCTTGCCCAAATTTGTGTTCAATACATTCTCCAAACTTCAGTTTGCAACCTTTAGTTACTTACCTGAGTCCAAACATTACTGAATTTAATGGTCTCTTAAGTAAAAAGGGTAAAGGCTTGCCATTTCAGTCTATTTGAAATTGACTGGAACCATATGAACCACTTGCTCACTAAAAAGTTGTTTATGCACATATTTGTGCCACAGATCATTAGCTATAAATGGCTGCCTTTCATACATCTACGAAGCATTATTGCCTATAAGAGTAAGTAATCTTTTTATACAATGCACAAGGTGTTTACTTGTGATAGTATATAAAATGTATATTCTCTTTCTTAGATTGCATCTTGTGCTGTGTCACCTATTTTCAATTACTGGTGTGATATTTCAAAGCACATGCTTTGCTAATTTCCCTGTTCCTAATGTGGTATTAAGCATCAATTCCTAACAAAGCCAATTTAAGTCCATGGAGAAATTCATAATGAACTTAATTGGCTTGAGCCTCACACTCTCTTGTCCAAATGAGATGACTTGTCTTGTACATCTAGTACTTACTGTTCATCTATCATCCATCACAGAGCCATTAATGTTGTGTCTGGATAGCCTCCCATTGCTCTCCATTCAAATTTTTATAAAACCTCAGCTGACTTGGTATTCTAGTGTAGTATTGATTAGGAATGTTTACGATACTCGTAACTATAACGCCATAGGAAAATAGCATGATAAACTAGATGATTTATTGCTGAAACAGTAGATTGCTGAAAAAAAACAAAAGGAAGATCATTCTCTTGCATATACAACTCCAAAAGGGGCTTGAAGTAAAGATGTTATGAATGAAAGTTGGCAAGTTGTGATGTGCATATGCCTCTCTGGACAAAGAAAAGAAAGGAGAAAAATCCCACCTAGCAGAACATGGGATGATCCCTCTCAGTGAATTCAGGTGTGCTCATTGGAGAGCCAGTCACTTTAGACCCAGAGTGGATAATATGTGGCCATCCCGATCTAGTTAAACAACTGTTCCCATCAGCCTTAATCAAAGCTGAAGGATCATGTTGGAGAGCAACAGAAACGTAAGTGCCACAAATTACCCAGTCTTACCCAAGGCTTTTGTGACGCAGATTAGTTTTTAAAAAAATATGCATTGCACCATGAACAGTGAATTAACTATAGGTGGATCCTTTTGATACATCTGGGATCTAGGAAGTTATATGGAGCTGGTTTTCTTGTTTGGACTGCTTTGGCAAGAAGAAGGGAAGAAATTCCTGCCACATTGGAAGACATCCACAGTATTTAGACCTAGCATGCAGCCCTTGTTGAATTGCAAGTCCCATCAGTCCTGGCTATGATAGCCATTAATGAGGAAAGCTGGAGAAATTGACAGCTAACCACATTGAAAAGACTGTGTGAGTCCTAGTCCTGGCCTATATGACTAATAACAATAGCAACAATGCAAGTAACACATGAAAGCATGTAGCAAAACAAAAATTAAACAAATGGCTTAAAAACTGGCAAATACATTGCTTCATTTTAACATTGCATACGTCTTACTATAAAAAAAATAAGACTAATGAACACTGTAAAAACAACTGCTTTGAGTCCCCCTAGGGGGTGAGAAAAGCAGTATATAAATACTGTAAGTAAATATTTACAATGAGTTCAGTTAAGATTGAGCTAGTTAAAACAGGTTCAGGTTAATAATGAATAAAAGATACATGAAAATCAAGAGCAAGGTTTTTTAAACAAATGTATACAAATTGACAAACAGAAGATTAACCCACGCTAAAATATTAGCAGAGAGCCACGTGGTAAGGAGTTTTCACTATTGGACTAAGACATGGAAACCTACTGGGTGACCTGGGTCACTCTCTAAGCCTCAGAGAAAGGCAATAGCAAACCACCTCTGAAGAAATTCTTCCAAGAAAGCCCAGTACAGGTTTGCCTTGGTGTTGTCATCATTCAGAAATTACTTGAAAGCACAAAACCAAAATGAAAGCCTAGTATAGTAAAATCAGTTCATCTGGAGCTTTACAGAAAGGAGACAAACAGACTTCTCAAAGGAAGGAGTTTCACACTTGTGTGCTACAGTAGAAGTTCACCAAAAATAATTCTGTACTTCAAACAAATTGCCAGTATATAGACCATTTGAACTGTCAGTGAACCCTACTTGTTCCTTTTCAACCTTATTTCAGTAATGATATTTAAATAGTAGTGACTCGTTTATTGGTCTATAGCAAATTCTTGCATAGGGTTATAGTTAATCATATTGTTCTACAGCATTCTCTATGTTCCCATTACTTTCTATAATGATGTTCAAACTGTTCTGTTTTAATGATGCGGAAGGTGCAGAACCAGCATACAACAAAGCCATCTTTTAATGATAGGGGGCAAAATCTGGAGTTATAGCACCGGAAAAATACTAAATATTTGATTCTAATGCAACAGGGATTTTTCTTCAAATTCAAAAACTGCTTCACAAAACCAAAATTTTAACAAGAAATGTTATACAACTCTTACCTTGCAATAATAATGAACGTGCAAAACAAGAGACATGTCATCTGCTTGCAGAATTTTCTGAAAAAGTCATAGCAAATCCAGATACTTTATTTCTGGCATTGGTGAAAGATAAAACAGGGTACATACAAAGACTGTAGACTCAAGGGTGGTTTTGGCAGTTTCTTACTCTGAAATATAGTCTGCAACACCTAGTATGTGTTAGTTTCTCATCCAAGAACAAGTACAAAGATCCTGGTGCTTTAAAATAAAACACAGGATTTTATTTTTAATTTAGTAAACATCTGCTTGTTGAGGAAAAATAGAATATATGCCTTTTATTATCACTCCTCCCTGAAGATTTTCCCTTGGAGAAGCTCTCACACTAAACATCCAGGCAGCTTTTTGAACGTATGGGACTTAAAGAACAGAGTGCAGACTCTGATATGTTTGACCATAACTAGCATCCTGTTAGTGGCATACACAGGCTAGGGATGTTTGAAAGTACTTTGAAAGAAATAAGATAGATTTGGGGTACTTTTACACCTTTACATAATTTGAACATAGGATTATTGGTTTACATAATTTGAACATAAGATAAACGGTTTCCGAGAAATACGTATGAGAGTTTTGCTATCTCTCCTACTTTTGTTTGCTCATTTTCTCTGCCTATCATTTCACTAAATCTAAATTGAATATCAAAGCAGAATACAGTTCGCTGTAACGCTATTAATAAAAAGCAGGAAATTATTTAAGACTTTCCATGAGGGAATATTGCATTTTATCAAGCCTGACCATTCTCTTTTCACTTAGAAATAGTTGAACTAATTATTAAAATGTGAAATATTAAAGTATGTTGAACTTCTTCCTTCTTCTGTGATATAGACTATGATTGGGAATGATTTAAAAACTATGTCAGATAGTAGAAAAATGCTTGGAACATGTCTCCCAATGATTACTGTGCATAGTAGGTAAAACCTGATTTTTTTAATTTACATAATGGATGATGATATTATTATTATTATTTATATCCCCCCCCCCCCGTATCCTCCCAAGGGGACTCAGGGTGACATTTGCAGTTATTAGCCACAACATGGTACCTACTGATGGGACACACTGCAGACATAAGCAGTTGTGTTAACATTTCTGTGCCCATCTAATCAGACCGTTAGAACGTATAGTGACCTTTCTCCTCTCCTGGTTTGATAGAAGATGTTAATTTTTCATCTTAGAAATATGGACTAATTCATACATAGTTGATTAATTTGGACTTTTAAAAAGACAGTGTAAATGTATACAAGTTGTGGCATTCGTTTCTTCTTTTAGTGTTGTATCCATTGCCATATTTCTACATCATTTTCTCAAATGATGCATATAACTCTTTCTGACACAGTAACGAAATTGTTTGCCTGGTCTAGAGATAACTCTGTGGTGGTTTCTTGAAATCTATTAATGACTTGATTATTTGGAGTAATGTCTTACTCTTTTCCAGAGCTTGATGGTAGATAACATGTTATGAATTAAAAGTCTCAAATAATAAAAGTACTATTGTTGCTATTGTTGCTGTTACACTTGCAACTGTTGCTACTACAGAATGTAACTTAAACAGTTTGTGCCAAATAATATTCACAAAATATTCAAATTATCACTACTCATATATTGCTTTTAAATAGCAATATATTAGTAGTGATAATTTGAATATTAATTGAAATTAGATGGGTTTTTCACAGCAAAGGAGATCAAACCTTCAGGAAAGCAAGGTCTTAAATATGAAGTAGCCACTAAAATGTTTGTGATTTAAACTCATTACATAGATTCTCCATATACATGCATAAATTAAGAAGTAGAAAACTCAGGACCATGATTTGTCTTGGAACATAATCATAACTAGCAAAGTTGGCAATTCTCAGGATGTTAGAGATTACTTAGGACTAACTTTACCCTGACCTACTTTGTGCCAGCATTATGGGCTGTAAGAGGTTTGGACTGCTGTGTGGGCAGATCTCCAAAATCAGCCATCAGAAAAGGGTTCTACCACCAGAAGAGAAATTCTGCTGTTGGGGGCATATGCCAAATCACAACCAATTAAAGCCAATGTATGTTTGAGTTTGATTACATTTTCCAGAGATGGTATTTATACAATCAGAAGAGTCAGTAATTAAGCAGTGCAACCCCATGTTTCTGAAATAATTCCAGTTGTCATCAATGAGGGTTATGCTCAAGTAAGTTTGCATAGGACCAGTGCCTAAATTAAGGATTATGTTGTAGCAATTCACATAAAGCCTTTCTATAAGCCAGTCAGATATGCTATATATAAGATAGCATGCTGTATAAGGCAGCATACTGAATATGATCTGCTTCTTGTGAAATTTCAAACACTCATTATGATTTGCTAACACCTGTTTTCCTTTTTCTGTTTTACAGGTTTTGGCCATTGTCTCCATCTTATTTATTGTACTGTCCACCATTGCTTTGTCACTCAACACGCTACCTGAACTTCAAGTAATTGATGAATTTGGCCAGCTAAATGACAATCCGCAGCTAGCACATGTAGAAGCTGTGTGTATAGCTTGGTTCACTATGGAGTACCTTTTGCGTTTCCTGTCATCTCCAAACAAGTGGAAGTTCTTCAAAGGTCCATTAAATGTGATTGACTTGCTGGCCATTTTGCCCTATTATGTCACAATTTTTCTCACCGAGTCCAACAAAAGTGTGCTGCAGTTCCAAAATGTCCGCCGTGTTGTTCAGATATTCCGTATTATGAGAATATTAAGGATCCTTAAACTTGCCAGACATTCAACAGGACTTCAGTCTTTAGGATTTACCCTCAGAAGGAGTTACAATGAACTGGGCTTACTCATATTATTTTTAGCAATGGGAATTATGATCTTTTCCAGTCTTGTATTTTTTGCTGAGAAAGATGAAGATGCTACAAAGTTTACAAGTATCCCTGCATCATTTTGGTGGGCTACCATCACGATGACTACGGTGGGTTATGGGGATATTTATCCCAAAACCTTGCTAGGTAAAATAGTTGGAGGACTGTGTTGTATTGCTGGAGTGCTTGTAATAGCCCTTCCAATTCCTATCATAGTGAACAATTTCTCAGAGTTTTACAAAGAGCAAAAACGGCAGGAGAAAGCCATCAAAAGAAGGGAGGCACTTGAGCGAGCAAAAAGAAATGGAAGCATTGTTTCAATGAATCTAAAAGATGCCTTTGCTCGCAGCATGGAACTGATTGATGTAGCTGTAGATTCTGGCAAAACTGAGGAAGCAGCCAATTCAAAGGAAACTCCTGATGATAACCACTTATCCCCAAGTCGTTGGAAGTGGGCCAGGGGTGCTTTGTCTGAAGCAAGTTCTAATAAATCCTTGGACAATAAATACCAAGAAATAAGCCAGCGAGATTCCCAAGAACAATTAAACAATGCTGCAGCAACCTCCAGTCCCCAACACTTGAGTGCTCAGAAACTTGAAATGTTATATAATGAAATTACTAAAACTCAGTCTCAGCCTAATCTTAATTCACCCTACCAGGACCCATCAGCACAACCCCTTTATGAGGAAGAAATAGAAATGGAAGAAGTTATTGGACAAGATGACCCATTAGTATTAGGACCCAGAGATATAGTCACTGACATGAGAAGCACTTCCAGCATTGACAGTTTTGCCAGCTGTGCAACGGATTTCACTGAGACAGACCGGTCCCCTCTTCCTCCATACTCCAGTTCTCACTTACAGCTAAGGTTCCCAATGGAGCATGCCCATTTAGAAGACCAAAGAGCAAGAAGTTCCCAGCTTTTATCATTCACAAGAGATAAAATGTTTGCACCTAGAGATGTGACCTTTGACTACAGCCCAGTTGATACAACCATGAGCATGGATAACACCGGCTCTCAGTTCTTGCTTCATGGTCATATGCACTTTGACAGTTCTATGGAGAGTCCCAAAAGTTCTCTAAAGGGAAGCAACCCATTAAAGTCAAGGTCCCTCAAGGTTAATTTTAAGGAAAGCAGAGGAAATGCTCCACAAACACCTCCAAGCACTGCAAGGCCATTGCCAGTTATGGCAGCTGGTGACTTTATGCAATCAACCCCACAACATATCAGCACTATTCTTTTAGAAGAAAATTCACCACAGGGGGACAGACCCTTGTTAGGTGCCGATGCACCATTGGTTAGCCAAGGAACTTCAAAGAAATCATCCCCACTTTTTCCAAAGCAACGGCTTTTTACTTTCCCTTCAAAGGAAAGAAGAAGCTTCACTGAAATGGATACTGGAGAAGAAGAAGATTTCATGGAGATACCTGGCATAAGACATGATGCGCAGGAAGATACCAAGGAAAACTACTTTGGGGATAAACACAAAGATGGGAACCATTTAACCGAAGAGTCTCAAGTCAGTTCTTCTTCACCCAAAAGCTTGGGTCACAATTGTACTCAAGACATTTATCGTGTTGGTGAGGAAGTACAAGGGGACAATAGCCAAGAAGGTCACAAAATGGAAAACCATTTGTTTCCCCAAGAAATCCATACAAATCCCGGTGAAACTGATTTTTGTCCCACACGGGAAACCAGCATGTGACTAGTTAAGAGAGCAATAAATTGCAAAACTCATTTCTTAAAACCGCAGTTAGTAATGCCTATGAACTAAAAGACGGGAAGCCTCAAAAGTACCTAAAATGTTATTTTTGCATGGCATGAGGAGTTGTTTAGTTTAAATACTGTTTAATCTAAAAGTGAAAAATGCTTTTTTGTAACAAAAAAAGAAAACCAGGAGAAAAAACAATGCAAGAACAGTGAGTAAAATAAAGAGCTCTTTTTGGAGCCCATCTTTCGCTTATGGTTGTAGATAAGTTTTTTTTAAAAAAAATCTTTTAACTTTTTTCCCTCTCAAATTCTGGAATTTGCACATGAAAGGATGAAATGTCGATGCATGTGTTTATAATGATGTGAAACAAGGTGCTTTGAGCCTGCAAAATGCATACGTTTGTAAATAGTTGGGTTGGTGGGGGAGATCTAAGGTTATCAAGGATCTGTGGAAAACAGGTTTCCTGAGACACAGATATTTCCTTCGCAGTCTGCTGCCTGGAGGATTTGTACAAACTTATGTTGCAAAATTGCAACTTCTAAATGCATCTCACCTATCTTGCTTTCTGTTTAAAAGCTCATCAATTATAAGCTGTTTCTTTAAATAGATGACACTGTTCCTCATTAATCTGTTAGTTCTGACAATTTTTTATTTGTATAGTTTTCACAGATACACATACAAGCTTTGAATAAAATTCTGTTAAAACTCTGCAAGATTTAATGACCAGAAATTGAAATTTCAGTATAATAACTGCCAAATATCAAGACAGACAAGTTCCCATTATGTTATGTAATAAAACTATTTTTATGGCAATGAAATGTGCCAAACAGCCATTAAAGTGATGGTTTTTTAATTAAAACATTTTATATTACTATTGAAATAACTGAATGTACTATTGTTAAAATCGTACTATTTTTGGAAGACAGATTTTGTTAATGAATAATGAACATTCACTTCTTTGAGAGCACTGTGTCATTTGCCTATCATCTTCCATATTTAGGCACTCCAATTATAGATATTCTCCATTTCACAATACCAGTGTGATGACCCTTTCCTGAGAACAAAGGCAGAAAACACATGCCCAGAAATAGTACCACTCTCACAAAACTTGGGCAAGGATTTGTAATTTATCTTTAGTTCCAACTAGAGTAGACCCATTCAAACAATAGATTTACCTATAATTTGACTATCCATTAGGATTCAAGTCAAGTTGAACTGAAGATTTCCATTAAATAATTGCTTTGGGAGAATTCATTCATATCAAAGCCTAGGTTTAATTTTTGCAATTAGCAAATTTAAATGTAAATCATGACATTTTCTTCATGATATCTTCTGTCACAATGTGTTCAGTATTCATTACAGGAGAAAAACTCTAATTTGAAAATCTCAATATATGACTGGAGCTTTCCAAGTCTGTATTTTATTTCACCCAGTTTATTGATTACATTCTGCAGATTCAAGATGTGATCTATTTTCTATTTTAAATCACAAAACGCAGCACTGCACTTTACCCCGATTCATCTTTTCTGGTTAAAAAAAGACCCAAAATATTTTAATTGTTTTATTTGCCATCAACATAAAACCTTTCACTGATTTTGTTGAGTGTAGTCCTTCCAGAATTTGCACCAAATATTTCTCTATTTGGACCAAAAATGAAACACATTTTAAAAGAACTGTTTAAATCTCTTTTAGTACCTCCTTTTACTTTTAAATAAAGCATCTTCAGGTCTTTTTCTGAGGAATATCAGTCTTGAAGTTAAGTATCATTTCTAAAAACAAAAAAACAATACCTGGTCATTAAGTCTCTATGCATTTGTTCTTCATGGCTGTCCAACTAATTCAAATTTTTTATGTAACTTAATTATGTGGCACTTTGTTTAATCCGTTCAGTGACTTCTCTTGTATTTCACAAATCTCGTTTATTTATATTATTTCACTTATAGATATCCATGTTGACTAGTTTCAAGGCAATTAAGCTTTTTAAATAACCTTGCTCTGTAATTTCTGTATATTTTCAAACATAATGCGGTCCTATTTATTTTGCCTTTATTACGACAACTGTATAATGACCACACACACACACAAAGGGTGAAATGAAACCTTGGCCTTAGGTTGCATATGAGAGTTTGATAAATGATTTCAATGAAATTATGATTTAAATCAGAATCTTTACACAGTTCAACTCCACTGACCATCATGACTTAAGGCCACCAAAGCTAAAATACACTCTTTTCATGTGGGATAATTCAGAGTTTGCAAAGAGTGATTTTTTTTAATTCTAGCCAGGGAATATGGGGAGTTGCAGTCCAAAAACCTCTAGAAACAATATTTTTCTGTTTTCAGAACTGTTGGTGTACCATGTCAGAAAGATTGTTGATATTCTCATTCACAAGTGTTTTATTTTAAAGAGCTCCTGACTTGTTTCAGTCCATGGATTGTAGTTCCCATCTCACAAGCCACATATATTCTGCCCTTTGAAGTCATGAAAATGCCAAGAGTGTATTTAAGCCTTTCTGGTCCTGATCTTATAAATTATAAAATAAACTGGTATCACTAAAACATCACTAGAAGATGATTTGGGAATACAATCAGTCCTCCACATTTGCAGGTTTAATTTTTTTAGATCCAGTTATTAACAGATTTGTTTTAAATGTTTTCTCTGGAAACCTCCAGGTCCTCCACTGTGCTAGAAATTGACCACAGAACCATGCTAGAGGACCTAGTGATTCCTAGAGAAAACACCATTCCAGGAATAATTAGATCTTCCAGTACAATTCTGTGGTCAGCTTCTGGCAGATGTTGACTGTAGAGATATATCTAGATATTTCTAGGGAGGTGTTCTCTCAGGAAAATAATAATAGTAATTTTTAATTCATGTTCTTTCACTTTTGTGGGGTCCCTGTACCCCTAACCCCAGCAAACATGGAGGCCTGACCATATAGAAAAGGAAATGTATGTGCTGATATGAGAACCACTAACATATATTTTTGGAACTACAAAAAGATGAGAATGTTAATTGTAGACCATACACTGCAGAATGAAAAGCCATCAACTTACAGGAACTGTAGGACTATAAATACCTCTCCAATGACTGCACTATGCCCTCTTTCTAAAACTAATATTAGAACTGAAACTCAGAACTGTAGAACTGGGAAGGGATCTCAAGTCATCAAATCGAACCTCCTATCAATGCAAGAAAGAAGCATGTTAAGGTAAGCCATGTAAACAAATAGCACAACATGGCATGCAAACAACAGGACTATACATCTAGATTATGTTTTAATGGTTTGTTTTTTTATTCAATTCTAAACAAACAATTACACCAAGCATTGCATAACTTTTCCCTGTACTCTATATATATATGTGGTTGAGATAGTTCTACTGAATCAGTTTGCCGTGTCCTTTCCATTCATCCATTATATCTATATAGTTATGCTGTCAGTCTTAGCTGGAGGCTGATTGTATTAATGTTTCTGTTCCAAAGAAACATGTTTGCACAGCTTTGGTGGTTCTCTTCCAGCAGAAAATCACAAAAGGGATTCACAAATGTTCTTTAAACAATCCTCCAAAATGCACCCAATCCCCAAAAGATACTCCAGGAGAGTTTCAGTGAGACATGATGAATCAATCATGCCAACCATCCAGTGAATGGATTTCTAGATACTGGCCAATACAACATCATAGCACTCTGGTAGTGGGGGATTTGCAAACTATGATACACAGGGATATATGTGATTCATCTGAAAGGCCATTGTTACATTCAAAGGTTTGTTCATTAAGAAATCAAAGGCTACTGAGAGGTCAAGCAAAGTCAGTCTGAGAACAGCAATTCTTCTGCCAACCCAATCTGCCCTTGTTTTGGAATCAAGATCAAATTCAACAAAACTTAAACTAGTTGTAACAAGAAATGGGGTGCTGTTCTCTTCAGGTGGAGATGCTTTTACAATAAATGAGATCCTACTCAGGCCTACATGATATTTTCTGCCCACTTGTTGAATGTAAATGGCTGCCAAATTGAATCCATTCATGGAGAATCTCCTTCATACCAATGTCTGTTCATTCATGTCCTCTGCAAGGAGCATGGAAGAGCATTTCATGATACTGGCTGTTCTGTGAAAGGACCATTTCTTTGTGCATTTCCACTTATTTATCTTAACACTGTTCTATTGTGCTCATTTCACAAGGAGGTTCTTTGTCATGACAGAGATAAAGCCTTAGATCCAAAGATCCACAACTGCAAACTGAAAGTACTTTTGTTCATCAGCTGTACAGGGTCTCACTACACATTGCCCATTACTCAAGACGAATTTCCTTCTCAGAAAGGCCACAGATAGCTGAAAAATCAAGAGATCATCACACACACATATCTGGAGGAGGAAAGACCACTTCCTTGCAAACCTCAGGAAACAGAAGGCAAATCTCCAGCCAATCTCCAGTCCAAAACATTATTTAAAATGTAACAAAATTTAACACGAACATCCTTTAATGAATTCAAACAAAGCAATTTCTCTGTCAGTTCTGACAATTTAAAAGAAAAACACTCCCATCCTATATCACTGAGAGTAGGGCAGAGTTGTAGCATTATACTTCTATATATATTCTCATGAAATTATGCAGAGCTTTACCCACACACATAATATGCAAGTAAGCACCGGTCATGCAGATAACATTAAAGCACTTAGGGATCAATTTTCCATACAGAACAGAGCTCAGCACTTAGCCTATTGCAGTGGGTTAATTGTAAATAACCATGAAATATGTATAATTTCACCTTTATATTTTCTGTGTTATCATGTATTTGTTTCATATCTACAGTAGGATGAACTCAGTTTAAGTAACTTTAACTCTTCTTCTACTTCTCCTTCTTCTCCTTCTTCTTCTATGTATGCTACCAATGCTGCTGGGGAAAAAGCACAACAGTATTTATTTTAAAAAATTTTATCTTGGCACAATAGGTGTGTCTTGACTATTGTTCAGTATTAATGGAATGGCAGCATTTCATTGTAAACTGCTATACTAACAACATATCCTCATATATTTTTTTAATGGAAAGAACATACTTTCAGTAGAAATACATGCATATATGATAAGTCTCGTCTAATCTCATTCATCTGCCTTTACAAAATGCCCCATCTAAAATGGGAGAGTATGCTGCTTTTGTTGTCTGTATGATTTGTCTTTTAAGAATGGGGGAGGGCTAAACATTACAGTGTTCTTGTAGGGCATTTTGCAATGGTAACAGCATCAGACATGCTTTGTTGCATTACTGTATTTACTAGAAATGTGTTGGTTTCACCTTGTTTCTGTAGAGAACGCCACTTTTAAGTTTCCTGCCCTCTTCTGTCCATTGTATACCATTAATAGAATTTCACATGCAACAGTATTCATATCAATATTTCCATATCAGCTGCATTTTAATACCATGAAAAGGAAACGTGGTTATTTATTTTTGGTTATGCTAGATTTTGCTGATCAGCTAACTATTTCTGCACCAATCAGCATATAAATATGCATGTGGTAGTCTGTATTGTACAGTTGTTCAACATCAAAATATTTGTTTATTTTCTGTCAAATGTCTGTAAAATTAATGGCATTGTTCTCCATTTCAATCTGCCAGAATAAGCAGAATAGTAAATAAATGTGTAAATGAATCATCTCTGTCTCATTTCAGTTCTCTGCATGAAGTCACTTTGCATTAAACATTGCATACGTACTAAAATGCCAATCCATAGTACTTTTTGGTTTCAATGACCTTTGATTGGGGGAGGGGGGAAATATTTGTTGGAAGATGTATGCAGAATAATAAAAGAAAGGGAAAAGTGTCCACCTTGCAGGGCTTGCATATCCATGCAGAGCAGCCCAAGCAACATTGAGGGGAAACCCTTCTGGAAGGAAAAGCAGGAAAGGGTAAGCATAAAGCAGTGAAATATGCTGCCATGTGATAGTCTTTCTTCCTCTACAAGTTTTTGAGAAAAGGCTGGATTACCATCTGTTATGGGTGCTTTCATTGTGGTTCCTACATAACAGGAGGTTGGACTGGGTGACCTTTGGGGTCTCTTCCAACTCTGTAAGTCTATGATTCTAATGTTTTGTAAATATGCCTGCACCTGGGCCTCTTAGCTTGTGGTCTGTGGACCCCAAGAGGCCCAACAAATGGGCTTCAGCAACTTTTTAAACCATACTTAAAATGCCCCTTTCTCTCTAATTTCCTTTGTTACTTCAATGAAATAGTTCCTACATTACTTCCTATTTCAATGCAAGAAATTCAGTGGGTTTTAACTACAGGACACACGGGGCATAATCTTATAAACAGCCTTGTGTTCATTTATATTTATTGCACTTCATATTAAATATTTGACTCAGGGGCAGGGGAAGGGATAGGATTCATGAAAACATTTAAGAGAATTAAGCTCAAAGAATAAGAACAATTGAACTCTAGATAAAAGACATAGCTGAACCAAATCCAATGCTGAGAAGCAAGAAACCCAGAAAAAAATGAGCTTAGCAAAGGATGAGTGTGATGGTGAAATAGTGGAAGATATGATTTAGCATCATGTCCATCACATTTTAACGGAAGATAATTAATCCTTGAGGATCTATAAAGCAAGAAATAAAGCTAATTTCATATTGAGGATTTAGATTTAGTATGACAGTACAGAATTAAGGCTTTCCTTAAAGGGCATTCTCTATGGTAGATTGTTGGGTTTTTAAGCTGTTCTTAAGAATATACCGTAAATACAAAGAAAGGGAATATGGGAAAATAGTTAAGATTAGGCAAGTAAGAAATTACACACTACAATTGGATCTAACCTTAGAAGTATTTAGAAAAGAGATGGTAAAATCAATTGGGCAAGTGTGATTTAATTCATGCATATTTACAATTTAATACTGATTTATCTGAGCCATCTGCATGTATCCATCACCCATTTGCATGAGCAATGACATAAAGCTCATCACACATTTGCTATGAACATTTGCATACATTGTGAACACAATTATTTTAATCTCTGTTCATTTTAGGACAGATATAAATGCAGGTATTAACTACTAGAAAAGACCAAATTTCATAATAATTACATATATAGTACTAACCAATACATTATCACTTGGACCCAATCAAGTTGCAACATCGTATCTCTCACAATACATACCCAATTATGAAAGAAAATAAACCTGCAAAGTTCTGGTAGGGGCTGCTGGATCCCACTATTTTTGAAAAGATAATAATGCGGAAGAATATAAAAACAAACTTTTTAAAGTGTTTGTCTTCTTTCTCATCAACATTTGGATACATGAAGTTGAAAGTGTACTCTAACAAGATATTTTCTGTCCTTAAGTGTTGGTGTCACTCACTGTCAGCTCACCGTAAAAGTCATTGTCAACTTATTGCAAACTCAGCATCTGAAGAAGAAAACTATCAAAGTGCACATACATGTCTTCTCTTTAGCTTTCTTTGAGCTACAAAAAATGTACAAAGTCATCAATAGAATTTGGACAGTCCTATCCCAACATGTTAACTGAAATATGGATACGCACAAGGTAAGCAATCTTCCATTAAGCATAGTTTCTCATTTCAGAAGAAGTGTGTAATGGCTCCAGAATAATACAAGATTATGATGCTGTACCTGGAAAAACTCATTTGAAGCTAGCCATATTTTTCTAGTTTACACAAAACAGGAAATTATAATACTAGGATTTCTGGTTCACTTATCCCTTTCAGCAACATGGCTGCATGTGCAACCAAACAACATATTCACAACTCGCTTTATTAAACAAAGAGACCATACTTCAAACACGCAGTGCTTATATATTTTATTATTTATTTATAGCATTTCTACCCCGCTCTTCTCACACCCGTAGGGGGACTCAGAATGGCTATCAATGGCAACGATTCGATGCAGTAATAATTACAATAATAAAAGCAAAATAAAATCATACAATACAATACATTAAAACAGCATTAGTTATCCAGTCATAAAGGCATTTCCATTATAACAACCATCTGTTCCAATTCACTGTTCAGATGCTGTTAAATCCATTAGCCAAAAGCCTGGTTCCACAACCACGTTTTCATTTTCTTCTGAAAGGAGGGAGGCCACCAATCCAATTTCGCTGGGGAGCAAATTCCACAGAAGGGGGGGCGGGGGTCACCACCAAGAAGGCCCTATCCCTCGTCCCCACCAGCTGTGTTTGTGAAGCTGGTGGGACCCAGAGCAGGGCCTCCCCAGCAGATCTTAGATTATGAGGTGGAACGTAGGAGATACGTTCGGACAAGTAAGCTGGGCTGGAGTCGTATAGGGCTTTATAGGCCAAGACCAGCACTTTGAATTGTGCTCAGAATTGGACCGGCAGCCAGTGGAGTTGACGTTACGGGGTGGTATGCTCCCTGTACGATGCTCCAGTGAGCAATCTGGCTGCCGGCCATTGGACTAGTTGAAGTTTCCAAATAGTCTTTAAAGGCAGCCCCATGTAGAGTGCGTTGCAGTAATCTATTCGGGATGTAACCAGAGCGTAGACCACTGAGGTCAGATCAAACTTCTCAAGGTACGAGTGCAGCTGGCGCACAAGCTTTAACTGTGCAAAAGCTGTCCCAGCCACCGCTGAGACCTGGGGTTCCAGGCTCAGTGATGAGTCCAGGATCACTCCCAAACTGCGAACCTGCATCTTCAGTGGGAGTGTAACCCCATCCAACACAGGCTGTAACCCTATGCCCTATTTGGCCTTACGACTGACCAGGAGGACCTCTGTCTTGTCTGGATTCAATTTCAATTTGTTAGCCCTCATCCAGTCCGACACAGCCACCAAGCACCAGTTCAAGGTCTGAACAGCCTCCTTAGTAATAGCTGGGAAGGAGTTACAGATTTGGACATCATCTGCGTACAGATAACACCTTACTCCGAAACTCCAATTTCCCCCAGTGGCTTCATATAGATGTTAAATAACATCAGGGACAGTACTGAACCCTGAGGGACTCCACAAGACAACAGTTGTGGAGTCAAACAGGTTTCATTCCAGTAACACCTTCTGAGACCGATCCTCCAGGAAGGACTGAAGCCACTGCAGAGCAGTACCTCTAAGTCCCATTTCTGCGAGGCGTCCCAGAAGGATACCATGGTCAACGGTATCAAAGGCCGCTGAGAGGTCCAGCAGAACCAACAGGGACACACTCCCCCTGTCTAGCTCCCGTGTCTACCAAGATAATCAGTGTCTACCAAGATAATGTCTACCAAGAACCCCTGGAGTTGCAAGGCCACCACACATTCCATGAACTTGCCAAAGTAGGGAAGATTGGAAACTGGCCAAAGGTTGACTGAGTGGGGTCCAGCGATGGTTTTCTCAACAGCAGTTTTATAACAGCCTTTTTTAGGCTGGCTGGAATCTTGACCTCCTGTAAGGAGGCATTAACCACCACCTTAACCCATTCTGCCAAACCCCCTCTGGCTTCTTTTATCAGCCAGGATGGTCAGGGGTCTAGGATGCATGTGGTAGGCCTCACCTCTCCAAGGATCTTGTCCACATCGTCGAGCTGAAGCAATTGAAATGAATCCATTAAAACCAGACAAGCAGATATTCGTGTTACATCCTCAGAGACTGCTGTTAATGTGGTGTCGAAGTCGGAATGGATCAGTGCAACTTTGTCCACAAAGAACCGAGCAAATGCTTCACAGTGATCTGCCAAGTTGTCAGGAATCTCACTCTGAGGTGGATTTAATAGTCCTCTGACAACTCGGAACAGCTCAGCTGGATGGTTTATAGCGGACACAATATTGGCCGCAAGAGATGTTTTCTTTGCAGCCTTTATTGCTGTGTCATAGATCCTTTAAAAGGAAACTAGACGTGCTTGGACTGACCCACTACGCTTCTGTTGCCACACGCTCTCTAGTCACCTCTTCTTTCGCTTCATTGCTGCCAGCTCCTCGGTGAACCAAGGGGCTGGTTTAGCTCGGTTACTCGAGAGAGGGCGCTCCGGAGCGATCGTATCTATTGCCCTGGTCATCTACCCATTCCAGAGAGAGACCAGACCATCAACAGGGTCACTTACTGAGGAGGCGAGAAAATCCCCAAGAGCCGTCAGGAATCCGCTGAAGTTCATAAGTCTCCTGGGGCGGACCAATTTAATGGGTACACCACCCCTGCAATGGTTCAGGGGCACAATAGGCCTAAAACTGATCAGGTTGTGGTTGATCCATGGCAATGGAGCGATGGTCACCTCCACACCGTCACCTTCTTCACATCCCTGACAGAAAACCAGATCTAATGTGTGCCCAGCACTGTGAGTGGGACCAGAAACTAATTAGGACAGGCCCATGGTTGCCATGGCAGCCATGAAGTCCTGAGCCGCTCCTGACAGAGTGGTCTCGGCATGAACATTGAAGTCTCCCAGCACTATAAGCCATTGAGACTCTCAACGCCAGGCATGCCACCACTCCGGCTAACTCGAGTAGGGTGACTATAGTGCAACGGGGTGGTCGGTACACTAACAGAATCCCTATCCTGTCCTAGTCACCTGCCTTCAGGCAGACACATTCAAAGGTGGTTGACTGTGGGATGGGGCACCTGGTCAGGGGGGTGGTATCCTTATAGACTATTGCAACCCCACCTCCTTGCCCTCCAGGTCTTGACTACTGCTGTATGGAGTAACCTGGTGGACAAAGCTGGGAGAGATTAACCCCCTCCCCCCCAGGCTCGTCCAACCAGGTCTCCGTTATACATGCCAGGTCAGCATGTTCTTCAAGGATCAAATCCTGAATAATAGATGCTTTTCCATTAACTGACCTGGCAATGAACAGCACCACTCTCAACCTGGAGGGACCACCATCCTGGGTACTCAGCTTAACTTTGTCAGGAGCCCGATTTAAATTTATAAGAGTTCTTTCATTCACTCTAGGCCAAATTGGTAAATTGGATCTATCACATATTTTGGGCCAAATCAATAATTTAGGTTCTTCATATATTTCTGTCCGAATTGATAATTTAGATCTTCCACAAATTTTTGGCCGAATTAATAATTTGGTTATGCTCATTCTAATATTTACACTTGGATTTCTTACAGCCTAACATGGGCGTGGGCAAACTTTGGCCTTCCAGGTGTTTTGGACTTCAACTCCCACAATTCCTAACAGCCAGTACACTCAGTTCTTGTGGGTTTTTTCGGGCTATATGGCCATGTTCTAGAGGCATTTCTCCTGACGTTTCGCCTGCATCTATGGCAAGCATCCTCAGAGGTGAGGTCTGCTGGAAATGGGAAAAAAGGGGTTTATATATCTGATTGGAGTTAGAAATTCAGACTCTGAACAAGGAAAATAGAAACAGAAGCGGAATTGAATTATATTCACAAACTCCAATCTATTAGGAGAGCAGAGGTATAAAGAAAGACAATGGCTTCATGGCAATATATATCCCATTATGTGTGTGCAGATATGTAGATATGTAATACAAGAGCTCTTGCTACTCATATATGACAAAAATAATCTTTTCAGAGCTAGAAATCACATGATAAAATCTTAGCTCCAAGCCAGCTTTGCTACGTTTCTCATCTTTAGGAAATAACTATTTTTTCTCAGCTCCATCCTTTCACCCGCATTATAAGAGAAATAACACAAGTCTACAAAAGCAGCATTATATTGAGTCAATGTAATGCAGTGGTTAGACTGCTGGACGGGATCTTGGGAGATTCAGATTGAAGTCCCCACTGAGCTGTTAAAATCTGTATGGTCTTTAACCAGTAATTTTCTCAGCCTGAACCTACTTCACCTGTGAGAATGAAGTGGCAAGGATAATTTCCATGTACAGCATGTTGAGCTCAAAGGCAGAAAGATATAAATATGATAAATAAAAAACTTTTAAAGGAATTCTCAGGGCAAGCTGAGGGGAAAAAGACATGTTCAAGTCATCTCAGGATCACAGGATGGTTCAGGGTAATTTTCTCCATTCCCAGCAATCCTTCTAATGGTCTCATTTGAATTCAGGAAAGCACTTGATTTTTCAAGCAAACTTTCTGAAGGCCATGGTTGCATGCACATAGGAGAAAGAAATGGGAAGCTGTCATTTCATTGACATCCTTATGTTAAAGTGAGCATGTTGCAGATTTCGAAGCTAAAGATTGAGAGAAAAGGGGGGCTAGTTCACATCTCATTGAATTAAGGTGAAGGTAAAGGTTTTCCCCTGACATTAAGTCCAGTCGTGTCCAACTCTGGGGGTTGGTGCTCATCTCCATTTCAAAGCCAAATAGCCATAGACACCTCCAAGGTCATGTGGCCGGCATGACTGCAGGTACCTATTGAGCTACTCACATTTGCATGTTTTCAAACTGCTAGGTTAGCAGAAGCTGGGACTAACAGCGGGAGCTCACCCTTCTCCCCAGATTCAAACCTGCAACCTTTCAGTTAGCAAGTTTAGTAGCTCAGCGATCAAATACGTCAAATAGATTTCTCTCCTTGAGATAAGAAAGACAGATTAGGTTCTTGTGGGTTTTTTCGGGCTATAGAGCCATGTTCTAGAGGCATTTCTCCTGATGTTTCGCCTGCATCTATGGCAAGCATCCTCAGAGGTAGTGAGGTCTGTTGGAATTAGGACAATGGGTTTATATATCTGTGGAATGGCTGGGGTGGAGCAAGGAGCTCTTCCCTGCTGCAGTTAGGTGTGAATGTTTAGCTGATCACCTTCATTAGCATTTGAAGGCCTGCCTGAGCCTGGGAAATCTGTTGCTGGGAGGTGTTAATCTGTGCCTGGTTTTTTCCTCTCTGTTGTTTAGCTGTTATAATTTTAGAGTTTTTTAATACTGGTAGCCAGATTTTGTTCATTTTCATGGTCTCTTCCTTTCTGTTGAAATTGTCCACATGCTTGTGGATTTCAATGGCTTCTCTGTGTAGTCTGACATGGTGATTGTTGGTGTGGTCCAGCATTTCTGTGTTCTCAAATAATATGCTGTGTCCAGGCTGGTTCATCAGGTGCTCTGCTATGGCTGACTTCTCTGGTTGAAGTAGTCTGCAGTGCCTTTCATGTTCCTTGATGCGTGTTGGGCGCTGCGTTTGGTGGTCCCTATGTAGACTTGTCCACAGCTGCATGGTATACGGTTGACTCCTGCAGAGGTGAGAGGATCCCTCTTGTCCTTTGCTGAACGTAGTATTTGTTGGATTTTCTTGGTGGGTTTGTAGATTGTATGTATGTTGTGTTTCCTCATCAGCTTCCCTTTGCGATCAGTGGTTCCCTTGATGTATGGATTCCTCCCATGACTATTTGAATACAGTTATCATTTCTGGAACTGGAACTTAGTGTAGAATAACCTCCTTCTTTGTATTACATACTGTCTACTCAGTAGGAGTGTGCAGTTTGAAAGCAGAGAAAAGAGTGGCAACTTAAATTATATGCATGTGTTGTGTTATGTTTCTTCTAGGCTTCAGGCTCTTTGTGAGGATGTGGAACAAATACATGAAATGAAAATAAATCAGAAGTTTTAAGAGAAGCAAAATTATATTAATTAGTGAAGATGGGTGCATGAATCAGAGCTTAAATGCCTGCACTAGATTCCAGCAGAGCTTCTACAGCAGCTTTTAAATAGTAGTTACTGTGATAATATTCCCAAGCTCTGCATTTTAGATATATTGCTGCATTTTTACCAAGTGACACTTTGCATTCAGTCTTCAAAAGTAACAAATATGGTGCTATATGCTATACCTTATTATCATAATGTCATATATTTGTATCTTAGTCACTGCAAGGAAAAAAATAATTTAAGTCATCTACTGTTCCACTATAATCAGTTATTTCCGCAGTTATTTGTCTACAATTTAAACAGTTGACATTCTTAAAATATAGCCCTTCCAAGATCCATAAACTGCATTATAATGCACCTGCCATCTTTCTCCCTTTTTGAAAAGGAGCTCATAATTATTTTTAAATAAATATTGGATATTATTTGTTCACCTGCTCCTAAAATATACTTTTGCTTTTTTGTTCAAAGTAAACCTAGGTATTGCTTTTATTTTGATCAAATATCTTAATTTACTAATACGTAACACAATTTACATCATTCCAGTAATGATCTGTGTGATGGTCATGTTTGCACTATTCTACTTAATTCAGTTTGCTATAACAATATGTCATCAGGATGCTTTGTCTACAATTCTGGTGACAAAAGAATGCTACATGTTTAAAGCAAATTCTACAAGATCAACAAACCTCACCTCTGAGGATACCTGTCATAGATGCAGGCTAAACGTCAGGAGAGAACGCTTCTAGAACATGGCCATACAGCCTGAAAAACCTACAACCCACATTAACAACCTTTTCAACCACTTATTGCAGAACTTCTATACTGCAAGTAACTGGCTAAGAGTAAAAGGGTTTATATAAGGCCATCCACCAAGTTCTAAATGCACTGGGAATTCCTGGCCCAGAAGATCGCTTCTGAAATTACTGTAATAGAAGGGGGAAAGTACATTTTGGTTCCTGACCACCACTTTTGTTCCCTGCAGCAAATTATCAGCTTTTATTGTAAACATTAATTTCCTCATTTTTTTGGTTCATGGTTGTAATTTAGCTTAGGTGTAGCAGACATTTAAGCTCTGGCATGTTTTATTGATTCTCTAAAGAGCTCCTTTCTCTCTCTATTCCCACTGGCACTGAATGTCTAACAGAGGCAAAAGGACAGGAAAAAGGGAAGAAATATAAAAAGCAGATGAAATCTCAACAAGTCTATTACTTATTTGTCCTAGTCTGGAACCTTATGCATACTTATTTGGAACTAAGCCTTATTCTATATAATAGTGCAAAGGGTTATGCTATTCATTAGGGCTATTCTGGAGGGATGCCTGGGTGATCAGTCTTTTCTGAATTCAGATTCTGTATGCAACTGACAAATTATCAAGAAACTGGTAACTTTGGATTCTATGATCACTCTATTATTGAAAGAAAACACAAAAACATCTGGTACAAACTATGTCGGCTGTACTATATTTTGATAGTAAAAATTCTATAACTGAGGCCTTCAACAAAAAGAAATAGTGAATTAATTAAAATATGTAAAGTGAGAAAAATTCACTCACTCTATTTATTCATATCACAGAAAGAAAGGAATACAGTGTTCCCTCACTTATCATGGGTGTTACCTTCCAGGACCACCTGCAAAAATTGAAAACCCATGAAGTAGGGACACTCTCTCTCTATATATATATATATATATATATATATATATATATATAGAATTCCAGGAGTGAGGATTGGCTGCCTCTCTCTCGAGGGGGAGGGTGAAACCCCCTTCCACACTCCATC